CTTGTATTTGGACTTTGGGCTGGAAAAAATGGTGCATCCCTAGATATATATATATATATATATATATATGTAGAAATATAATATATAAGAGAGAGCGCGTGAGAGAGAGAAAATAAATAATGTATCCCAATGTAAATCGAACATCAATCAAAATGAGTGATGCCCGCCAACACGATGACAAACCACAACAACGCAGCTGCCCTGCTAATACTTCTGTTGCAAATTACTTTCCAGCCAGCTGCTCGTGATATTACCCGGGATACCCCCCGGCTTGTTTAAATTGTGAAACAAGCTAGAGGTAAACTGTCATTCAGTGTGAGTACTGATACCACCATTAAATTAATGGCTTCCGGCTGTATCAGCTTGAGTTTCAGGTGCGCGGGTGAGCTGGCGATTTAGTTTGCTCGCTCATACTGGGTTTTAGTTGCCAACATACTGGGTTTGGGTTGAACCGATTGTCAGCCCAAACCCAAAGCTCATCCCTAATCCAGCCTCTTACTATAACAATGCTCCCCAACATTGTTCAGCAGAAAAGCAAGTGAGGTTCGTCACCATCACAGCAAGGATGATAGGAGCTGGAAATTCCAGTTGTGGGGGTAACTACCCTTTCATTTTTACTGCTTTCTAAAATGAATATCAAGTCAGTCCCAGAAACAAAACACTGATAAAAGCAGCAGATGTTTCAAACGGAAAAAAAACCTTAGTCAGTAATATCAGCCACTGCTCAGCAAAGTCCTGTAGTCATGGCTGCCATTACATCACAGTTCAATTTCAGGTGGGCTAAAAGAACTCTACTTTTAAGTACTGCTTCTATTCCAGCTAGAATGCCAAGATAATATTTACAAGTTTATACAGTAAGAGACAAATGACTTTGAAGGAAAGTTAATACTTCTATGAAAACAAACCACATTTTCCTGTTCCGTTTGAGACTCACTGGCTACATCTGGGTACTGTCCAAAGCCTTGCACTTTCATCTAGTATTTTAGACTTTTCATCCTTCATCCCTCAATTTTGCCAGTGTGAAATCAATGTGTTAAATATGTAGCATAACAGAAATACGGGGAGTATTTTAAAGGTACACTTCATTCGAAAAATAAATAAATGTAAAACTTGAAGGTAAAGGTAAACCTGCCAAACAGCTGAGCAATTCAAACTATAAGCATTTGAAGAAAAGAATGAAAAAAGGTTATCAGTGAAAATGCCATGCCAAAATGTTCAGTAAAACCCTACCCATGTCCTAAGGAAGAACCAATCCATGCTGCTGGACTTTTCCGGACCTGCAAGAGGACTGACTACCTAAATCACTCCTCTCTGCCTCTGAACTCCAAGGTGGCCTTGCAGTCCCAGACATACACAAATGCTACCTTGTGGCTCACTTAGTGACTCTTGCATCTTGGTTTACCTTCCAAACATTTAACAAGTGGACTGAATTGGCAAAGCTCTTGCTGGCTCCAGGCCACCCAAACTCAATGCTCCAGAGCCCCTACATCAATATTCCCTACTCAGGCCTCCTAAAACCCATGGACTTTATGAAACTGATCTGGAGGCAAAGCAAAGATGAATATTATTTAACCACAGCTAAATCTGACATAACTGCCTTTTTTTTCACGCCAACAATCCCAGATGGTTTTACACACCCCATGGTTCAGTCCTGCTGCAAGCATAACTTATTTAAACTATGTCAGGTAGTTGATAGATGAGACAGAAGACTGCTCCCTTTCTATGCACTGCAAGACAAAATTCTACAGTTTTCTATTCATACCTACAAATACACCACACCCTCTCGCCATTCCCTACATTGTTAAACCCTACCCAATTTAAACTCATATGTTGAGATGGTCTCCCCTAGAAATGGATTAATTTCTGACTCCTGATCACTTAGACAAGCGACCCGTTTCCCCAAACATACATAAAGGTCGTAAACTTACCATTACTTCTTGGCAAATTATCTGTAGTCCTGCAGGCAAAAGCTCAGTTTGCACAGTATAATGCAAATACAAGGAAAACTATTTTTAAACATAAATATTTGTTCCACTGGTACTATACACAGAACGTCTCCATGCAATCTACCCTTCCACCCCAACTCATGCTGGTGCCACTCCTTATTTCACATATACTGGTCATGCTCCAGTATAAAGACTTTTTGGTCCACCATTGAGGACATAGTCTTCAAGTTTCATGCCTCCTCTGAGCCCATGCACTAAGTACTAGGATTATCGTTTCCAGCATCTATAAACAAACTTATCTCACTCCTTAAGCTATGCAATGTCTGATAATGGAACAGGTTGGGGAAGGGTGAAAATATTTGGGAGAACCTGCTGGAAGCCCGCTTCTGCCAAGGCCTCCTTCCTTGGTGAGGGTGTGTGCTGATAGTCTTGTCCTTCTGCTGTCCAGGGCAAATGTGCTATTGAATTAAGGCCTCGGTGTGAGGCCTAGGCTGCCATGGCCTTGTGGGAGGATTCTCTGGGAGGAGTGGAGCCTAAACCTGTAAAAATTCACCAATGAGGAACTTTGTCTGGCGGTGCCTAATAAGGAAGAGTTGGGCAAGGACTTTTGAAAACAGTTGGCTTCTTACCCAGGAAGATGAAGCTGTACTGACTACTACAGCCAAGTGTCTCTATTAGCATTGACCGAGAGCCCGACAGTGTCAGGAGAGAGGAGGGGAACCAGGCGGCATACTGGGTAAACACCCCCTCCTCTCTCTGTCGCGTGCAGTTAACTTATTGATGCCTGCCGGCGGCCATCTTGGTGATGGACGCCGGCAGGCGTCAATAAGATAACCGCGCGCGATGACATCACGGCGGCGTGTCACCCGGTCTCCGCTACAGGTGTCACCCAGCCTCGGGACACCCCTGATATACATGTATATGGAAACTATATACCGCATTTGTAATCTCAGCTAGTTTAGTGTCCGATACAAATATATTGAATTTCCCATAGACAAATTATCAAGCGCTAAAAAAGTCCGATGAAGCAGATTTCACTTTGTGAAACGCGTCCCTATCTATTATTGTAAAACAGCAAAAGGTTTCCCAGCACACTCACCAGGCAGCCTGCAAAAAAACTTGTCTAACCGCTAAGGTTAAAAACAGAGGTTTTAGATGCACGTCTTCTGCAGAATAGGTGAAAGCCGCACCGCCTCGTCAAGGCACCTCTATGTAGTGCGGTCCTAACTCTAACCTATGAGAGTCTCCATCTTGGAGCACATGTAGCAAAAGATAACATTGGGTGCGGGTTTGCCAGGAGGCTTGACTATTTATTATTGTGGTACAACACCACGTGCAGTATTCACCTTCATTAAATATCCATACCCATAGGATCAGACAATCCATGATGACACAGTGAACCTTGTATAGATAGAAGGTTGATCTGGCGTTGGTGTAACTGGTGTTAAGTTATATATGTTGGGGCACTTTTTAAATGCTGATTTTATAATGGATTTTTAAATTGTTACATCTTAATATTTTTGCATATATTGATGTACATGGTGCTTACTACACCTTAAAAAGCCCTGTACAGTGCTGCTTTGTAGTCAAAGCATTTGTTTTCTACATGTGAAGTTTGGGATGTGGTGCAATGTGACTTTTACTTTGTCTGGCGGTGCCTAATAAGGAAGAGTTGGGCAAGGACTTTTGAAAACAGTTGGCTTCTTACCCAGGAAGATGAAGCTGTACTGACTACTACAGCCAAGTGTCTCTATTAGCATTGACCGAGAGCCCGACAGTGTCAGGAGAGAGGAGGGGAACCAGGCGGCATACTGGGTAAACACCCCCTCCTCTCTCTGTCGCGTGCAGTTAACTTATTGATGCCTGCCGGCGGCCATCTTGGTGATGGACGCCGGCAGGCGTCAATAAGATAACCGCGCGCGATGACATCACGGCGGCGTGTCACCCGGTCTCCGCTACAGGTGTCACCCAGCCTCGGGACACCCCTGATATACATGTATATGGAAACTATATACCGCATTTGTAATCTCAGCTAGTTTAGTGTCCGATACAAATATATTGAATTTCCCATAGACAAATTATCAAGCGCTAAAAAAGTCCGATGAAGCAGATTTCACTTTGTGAAACGCGTCCCTATCTATTATTGTAAAACAGCAAAAGGTTTCCCAGCACACTCACCAGGCAGCCTGCAAAAAAACTTGTCTAACCGCTAAGGTTAAAAACAGAGGTTTTAGATGCACGTCTTCTGCAGAATAGGTGAAAGCCGCACCGCCTCGTCAAGGCACCTCTATGTAGTGCGGTCCTAACTCTAACCTATGAGAGTCTCCATCTTGGAGCACATGTAGCAAAAGATAACATTGGGTGCGGGTTTGCCAGGAGGCTTGACTATTTATTATTGTGGTACAACACCACGTGCAGTATTCACCTTCATTAAATATCCATACCCATAGGATCAGACAATCCATGATGACACAGTGAACCTTGTATAGATAGAAGGTTGATCTGGCGTTGGTGTAACTGGTGTTAAGTTATATATGTTGGGGCACTTTTTAAATGCTGATTTTATAATGGATTTTTAAATTGTTACATCTTAATATTTTTGCATATATTGATGTACATGGTGCTTACTACACCTTAAAAAGCCCTGTACAGTGCTGCTTTGTAGTCAAAGCATTTGTTTTCTACATGTGAAGTTTGGGATGTGGTGCAATGTGACTTTAGTGTCTATGGTGCTAGCGTGATAATTGGAGAATTCCAAAATATTCATTAAATTTCACTTGCCAAATATCAGTTCACTCATCCCTGTCTATCTATCTATCTATCTATCTATCTATCCTCATCTGCATATTCCTTACTTGTTCTGCTACAGTATTATGATGCCGTGCGGATGACTGCAGACTAATATGAAAGATTTGCTTGGCTGCCACGCTGCTGTGAGCTGACACATGGGACACTGATTCCCTTGATGAAAGAGATTGCACTGACTCTTAGTAGACAGGTAATTCAGGCACCTCAGTGGCCAAGTCTGGCAAGGTTTCATTCTCTCACTGTTACCTCGACAGCTGTAATGTTGATGAACAGCTCGGACCTGCTGCAGGAGACGCTCCAGCGCTTCAATCTGTCCCTTGTGCCTGAACTCTCGCCCGTCGTAGTCTTTCCAGTCTGTTAAACAAACGCAGACAAAGTTGGTTACTGAGTCAAGCTAAGAATATGCATAAGGAATAAATATTAGGGTGCTGGCACACAAGACGTTTTTTTAACAAGAGCTTTTTCTGCTTTAGATAATTTGTCAAGCTGATTATTTACAATAATGAACCTAAAAGGGAGCTAGTCACAAATGGAATAATGCAAGAATTTGAATATATTAAAAGGGCATCTATGGTCAAAATCTAAAAGCAAATCTGTATTGAATTTCCATAAGTTCTATCCCACTTCTAATAACCAGATCATCTAGAAGTTTGTAAACATACTTACTGAAGATGCCCATAGGATGGACTTCCTCATTCCAATGACACCATTTCTCTCAGTCCTGTGAATATGCACTTCCTTGTGTCAGAACTCACATAGCCTGCCTTCTGAACTACAGCTCAGCATTTGAACAATGTAACACTATGCTTGTTTGCTGGAAGCAATGCATGCTGGGATAGGTAGTCTTGAGAAATGGAGATTGCATTACAGCAAGCAGCAGGAAAAGAGACAGAAAGCACACTGGGAATCCAGGAAGTTGATGAAAGTGATGGACAGACGAAAGGAAGCACTCACTACATAAAAGGGATTTTTTCAAGTTAGCTTTGATTGCTGGTACTTTAGAATTCCTTTAACTACCTCATCTATACCTCAGAGGTCAGACATCACCTGAAATCTGACATCATCTGCCCTGACAACTACCTGGTCTATAACATACACACTCTCCAAACTACTATGAGATTGACGCTCGACTTGAAGTGTCAGACTCCAGTAAAGCTAAATAAAGGGGGCAAAAATAAATATTTCATAGGTAAGCCTTTACAGTTATAACGATTGAAGGCTGAATATTGAGATGCCTGTATACACTCAATTGTGAATGGTTATCTTTGAAAGGAACATATCAGTACGGAAGCTGCCACAGTCGCTGCAAGCTCAGGTGACTATCTTCTAGTTGTGGTTTTACTATTCAGCAAATCCCTTAGCTGAAATAAATATGCAATCTGAGATCAAGAACTTCACAGGCTAGCAATGGACGGAAGTTATTGGAGTTCATGTTCCTGACTGACTATGCCTGAAAAAGTCAGATGGTTGCTTTACATGCTTGCTCTTGTTTTATACCTATTTGTATATGTGTTCTTTATAAAACTGAATAAAATTTGATTATGAAAAAAATAATAATAAAAAGGCAGTGATTAGACATTGAAATGAGGATGAAGACGACAGCACTTTTTGCCCAAATTGGACAGTTTTCCTTAGAAGAGGTTCCTAGAAAACAAAAACTCTTTCCATTTTCTCGAGAATTGAGGCAGGATATGTAGGCAGCCATTTCTGACAAAATGATGGTTGCCTGGCTCACATGTTGACCCAAATCCTTTAATACTTTAAAGTCTATAGCTGTGTGAGATGTAGCAGAATGCATTTTAGGGCCTTTTGCCTACTTTTATTCATCCAAACATCAAAGTAACACAATGTTCTGCCCATGCAGGGGTTGTTTAGCAAACAACGAATACAAATTCATTTCAGCCTCTTAGCTATTATGCCGCACAGCTCTGGCTTTTCCTCTTTAGGACTTAGCTGGTTAACTGGATCTTTCAGTCACCAACTAGTCCTCTTGCCTGCTAAAAATAGACTTTTACTCACTTAGTTCAGACACGCTGGTCTGTCTGAATGTAGATTACCTCTGTCCCTTCATAATCTCCAACTCACAGACATTGGCGGCTCATCTTTGTAGGCCAGACAGGCCTGGGAACATGCACTTCCTTGTGTCAGAACTCACAAAGCCTGCCTTCCGAACTACAGCTCAGCATTTGAACAATGTAACATTATGCTTGCTTGCTGGAAGCAATGCATGATGGGATAGGTAGTCTTGAGAAATTGAGATTGCATTACAACAAGCAATCAACCTGACCAATCAGTTTTTTAACCTGTTCAGGGAACCTATGTCTGTTTAAACCGGCACTAGCTGCATGTTTACAAACTGACAGACTGTTTGTTCATTCTGACTTTGTTGGCTACATACTTTCTCGGGGTTAGTAACTCAGAAAATATTTCTGCCAGACAGCTATCATTTTCAAAATGAGTACAACATGGCAGCCTGTGCATTTTTCTCAGTATAGGTTTCCCCAAACATTTAGCTTCGATAGAAAAGCTGAGGGCTGGAAAGGACTTGAACCCTCACCAGAATTCAGCCACATTTAGATAGGCTGGTTGTTAGGGGAGGTGATGCCATGGAGGTCGATTGAAGTCTAAGTAGAATTATGGCAGCAGCTACAGTAACAAATTCATCTGCCTCTGCATGGCTGATTTTATATAAGGAGTGACAAAAAGAAGTTCGCCATACAATTGCCATCTGATCGATATTGACAATTAGGTCAGATAGGATATCACTGGATACCAAAACTCTTATACATTTTGCACAAATGGTTAAAAAATTGTTAAAAAGAGCAGAAACCCATATAAGCCAAACCTAAGTGAATTCTGACTAGTTTCTATAGGCTGCTGCACTGGCATATCATCACCGCTCTGTTTACCAAATAATCACGGTATTGGAATTGTATTGATTCCTACTAGACACAGGTGTAAGCACTTTTTTGGTGAACTCATACAGTTTTGGTGTTATGCAATGAATTAGTTCTGTGACATGATTCTTCATCATACACTTTATAAAGCATATTACAGCGATCTTTAGCTGTGAAAGGCTTGAGTGGTCTTGATATTGCTTCAATTTCAGATAAGGACTTAAACTTTTTGCAGCCCTTGGTATTAATTAATGAGCTGAGAGCTGTAAATCTCTAAAAAAAAAAACCTTATTTAAGAATACCTCAAGAGTCACCTCTTGCCCAAAATTCTGAAATTGTTTTAATTGGCACTTTTCAGCTCTGATAGGGACAATTAAATAATTTTTCTTCTGACTGCTGTTGTCAAGGGCCAATTTTCCTCTGGATAAAAACATTGCTGAGGGTGTTTTGGCAGTTGCTCAGGAGTTTTAATAGCTAATGTGGCACCACTTACAAAACATTTGCTTATCCTAATGAGGCAACACTTTCTCGCTTGGTGGCAACAATGAAATATGCACATTTTAAATACCTTAACTCCTTTAATACAGCCACCTAAAGCAAGTTGGAAATAAAACTTTTTTTTTGCTTTGTATTGTTGTCCTTTAAGACCTGCACTGGGATGATGAAAACTTTACTGGCAATATAAAACTCATAGGGTTTCTTCTATATAGTAACACGTGAAAGAAAACATTTCTTCCATGTTAAAGCCCAACTGAACCTTCAGTTTAAATCAGCTAAATACATTCCAGGTGCTTCAAAACAAAAAGTGTGCAGAGTATTACAGTTCATTTTCTTTAGAAAGCAGCCACAGCCTGAGTAGATAAACTTGTAGATTTCCAGCATTATGCAGAGAAGGACTCTTGTTTTTCATATGGAAACAGTGGTTTCTCTGCAGAGGTGTGACCTGCCTCCCTGCTGAATCAGAGCAATAGTTCTCCAGTCCCCAAGGAGCATGAGCTATGATTATGATTTAGCCCAGCTAAAGCTCTCACTTTGGCAGGGGTGTGATCTGTTGTTTAAATTTCTGAGTCAAGTCTACCAGTCTGGGCAGCAGGACTTAAAAGAGAACTATGGGGTCAATGTTTTCCCCATAGTTCTCTTAAGGGTCATGGGGGGACATATATTAGCGTCCTCCCGTGACCCAAAGCTCAGTATATAGCGAGCTACAGCTCACGCTATACTGAGACAGCTGCAGCTGGGACGGATCCCGACAATGCTGTTGAGATCCACCCAGCTGCGTGAATGACAGCTGGCTCAGCCTGCTCACCATTGCAATCATCTGCAAGCCCTCCGCTCAGCGGGGAGGACTTGCGATGATCGCAAGTACGATCTGCCTGTCCATGATTGTATGTTAAAGATAAGAATCCCAGTCTGTCCCTCAGTTTGTGCCTCTGCTTTCACTTTCAAACTGCTCAGGGTAGGCTGGAATCTGCACAACGGCCTTCAGTAAAGAAACATCTAAATGATAAGAAATATTATTATTATACAGGATTTATATAGCTCCAACAATTTGTGCAGCACATTTTAAAAATGGAGGAGACAGTACAGTTACAATAAAATTTACAATACAATAGTTTCAGTTCAATAGGGTTAGGGGTGCCCTGCTCGTGAGAGCTTGCAATCTAGTGGGAGGGGCAAGTGATACAAGAGGTAATAATTGTTTAGATTGAGTTATGGGAGGAAGTAAAAGGCAGTTATGTTGAGATGAGATAGGCTTCCCTGAAGAGATGGGTTTTCAAGGATCGCCTAAAGGTGGGCAGCGTAGGAGATAGGCGGACAGATTGGGGTAAGGAGTTCCAGAGGATGGGGGACACTCTGGAGAAGTCCTGGAGGTGAGCATGGGAGGAGGTAATGAGAGAGCTAGAGAGCAGGAGGTCTTGAGAAGGAGTGGAGAGCAACGGTTTGGGTGATATTTTGAGATGAGGTCAGTGATGTAGGTTAGGGCTGAGTTGTAGATGGCTTTGTATGTTGTTGCTAGCATTTTTAATTTTATTCGTTGGGCAATTGGGAGCCAGCGGAAGGATTGGCAGAGGGGGGCGGCAGACACTGAACGGTTGGTAAGGTGGATGAGTCTGGCAGCAGCATTCATGATAGACTGAAGGGCGGATAGCCTGTTTAGTGGTAGGCCAACAAGGAGGGAGTTACAGTAGTCGAGACGAGAGATTATAAGGGAGTGAATTAGAAGCTTTGTGGTTTCATTTGTTAAAAAGGGGCATATTTTAGAAATGTTACGGAGGTTGAGTTGGCAAGATTTGGATAGTGATTGGATGTGGGGCTGAAAGGAGAGCTCAGAGTCAAGAATTACCCCCAGTACCCTGGCTTGATGGAAATATATTTTAAAAATAGTTTTTAGGTATGCTGTATGAAATGGAACACATAACCATAGTGGAGTTTTCTCTAAAGGAAAACTACACAGTG